ATAGGGATTTTTTTTTTTTTTTAAGATTATAGCCAAGTTAGCAGAACTTAAGTAAAGATCACAAAACTTAGCATAAACAAATTGACAATTATTGAAACCAACTTTCTCTGATATAGTTCCAAAAGGAAGATTTTCTGACACTAGGAGACACGAGAGTCCAAACGTATAGAACAAGATGTATTTTTGTGATCAATATATTTCTTAAGAAAACCTTTGCTTGTGGAAAATTAAAATGAAATTTAGCTTTATGAATGGGTAGAAAACTAGGGCTGGACAAGGCTTGCATCAATTTAAATTGATGGTAAAATGCTCTAGCTCTACGTTTTTCAACTGTCAACAATTATGTAACAATTTTTCTTCACCTCCTTAATTACTCCAACCCAAAAATATCTTTAGCTCCTTGAATCCCTATCTTTACTTTAGATAGAGGGTTCACCAAGAATTTAGATAGAGAAAATAACCCCCAGGTTGTATAAGACAAGGTAAATGGGATTATTTTTTTTCTCTACTCTTTCCATATACAAGTTCTGTTTGCACTCATTTGATAGATGTAGTTTGCTTGTTTCTTCCTTTGATAAGATTTCTCTAATCAAAATGGTTTTATATATATGATTACCTAATAAACAATCTCTGTTATGCAGCAAGCGGGCCTGGAAAGTGCAACATAAACAATGGTGGCTGTTGGCATGATGCCCAAAATGGACATGCATATTCAGCATGTTTGGTTAGTGTTACTCATTTTCTAGTGCTCCTTCCCCCTTCCATCTCTGCTTCTTCTTTAAGAATGAGTTTATTTTCTGATCTTCAATGTGAACAGGATAGTGAAGGTGGTAAATGCCAGTGTCCTTCAGGGTTTAGAGGAGATGGTGTCAAAAGTTGTCTAGGTAAGAGATGAAAACATTAATCAATGTCTCAAAGCTTAAATAAGAAACAAAAGACGCTGAGTTATTATTTTAAATCTTGTTAATCAAGTAACAAATGTGAACTGAGTTCCTGAAAAGGTAAGTATTTACTCCTTGTTCATCATACAGATATTGATGAATGCAAAGAAAAGAAAGCCTGCCAGTGCCCTGAATGTAGCTGCAAAAATACCTGGGGAAGCTATGACTGTACCTGCAATGGGGACCTTTTGTATATTAGGGACCATGACACATGCATAAGTGAGTTGAAGAACCTAAGATTTGTCACTTAAAACTCTTTGGTTAAAAACATGCAACAACATGGTTCCTGTATTAATGCCCACTTCCTGCTCTGTTTCAGGTAAGAGTGCTACTGAAGTAGGATCGGCCTGGACTGCTGTTTGGGTGATTATAATAGGTCTGGCTATTGCCGCTGCTGGGGCCTATGTTGTTTACAAATATAGATTAAGGGTAAGTTTTATGCTCTAGTTCTCCGTTCTTCATCCAATAATTTGATTTGCAGACTCACTGTTTTCTTTTGGTTGATGGTTTTGTTCAACATGTCATGAATTTAATTGATGATTCTTTCTTTTGTTGCTTTTGCAGTCATACATGGATTCAGAGATCAGAGCAATAATGTCACAGTACATGCCTTTGGATAGTCAAGCAGAAGTTCCGAATCATGTCAGCGGAGATCACGCTTGATCGAAGGACAGAAAATGACCTGATCATCAGTATTTTAAAGGATTTGAGGTCATGTAGGGTTTGATGTTATTTATGTTTTTTTGCCTTTATTTGATTGGATTTTGGGCTCTATATCTTAATTGATATGTATATCGAGCAATAAAGAAAGAAAAATCAGGAATAGTTCTTTGTTTATTAGAACTGTAAAATGCCGAATGAGTTCAGCTTCATGGTTGAGTTGGGGCCAGATCATAATTCATAAAGCATCCTAATTTGCTGCAGCAGCAGCAGCATCTAGGATCTTTGATGGCACCTTGAGAAATATTGTCAGATTATTTATTCTGGGAATTCTGTTGACTGATTTATGCATTTAGGCTGAACTCTTCGTTTTAATTATAACTCTTAATTTTCACCCCCAGAACTTGTGTGTTGACAGGTTCTAAGTTTTTGGAACTGCTGTTAATTGGTTGATATTTAGGAAAACCTAATGGCTTTTGATCAAAATTAGATTTTTTTAATATATGCTTTTAAAAAACAGATTAAAAATATAATAAATATATATTTTATATAAATTTAGATTAAAAAATAAAAATTGATTTATAATTTGTTAACTATTTAATAAAATTTATCAACTCAACACTAATATTAGAAGTAATACTCTCACCACATCAAATTCACACACTTTATTTCTATTAAATGAACTTTTTTATTACAACCCCCTGGTTCATTTTGCTTGTACGGTACGTATTTTTGTTAATATTCTTTTATAATAAATAAATAATAATTTAATTTTTTATAAAATAAAATTACTTAATGAAAATTATACAATAAACAAAATTTAAATTATTATTCATATATTATAAAAAAAATATTACTTAAAATACGATGTTATAACAAATAAAATATACTAGAGGTGGTACAAAGAGAATGGCTAAAAATGAAATTCAAAGGACTAATGGTTGTATTTTTCTAATGTTTGGTAAATTTCTCCATTAGTATACTACACAAAAATATAACAACTAAAAATGAACAAAGATAATAATAAATTTTATAATTTTGATACAATTTTACCTATCAAGTTATTTGAATAATGTAAATTAATTATGGATAATTAATATCCAGTGTGTTATGAATTAATGTAAGTACTTAAACGGGGTTAAATTAATTACACGGTGCTTGATATTTTGGATACTGTTTTTTTTTTTTTTTTTCAAATATTTATATACACGGTGTATGGACGGGAATATAGTGCAATGAAGGGCATGGTTATTGCGGCTTGGTTTTTATTAAGGACACCTAAAATATATGATAATTATATTTATTTAAATTAAATTTACTAGTTTATTTATAGATTTATAGTTAATTATAGTATTTAAAAATTAATTTTAATTTATTTAATAATTATTATTAATTATTTCATCAATTAATAATTATAATTATAATTTTTTAATCTCCCATGTATTGCTTCTAGACTTGAAGTAGTAACGGCGAGTTTTCCTCTTTGGGGTTTCTCTTTGGTAAAGGAGTTTCTTCATCCCTCATTTTTTCTTCCCCTTTCCTTCCTCCTCTTGATCTCCTCCTCCATCTTGTCACTGTCACTGTCACTGTCTTGCTTTGGAAACTAAAACCTAAGGGACCACAAGGTAGTAGCATATTTGGGTTTTCTAGAGTTTATATCTGTTTATTTTTTAAGGTTACGATTGAAATTGATTTTTCTGGTAAAGTGGGTTTCTCCTATTTAATAGGCAAGAATCTCGCTTTTTTGCATCTCCTTGAACGGGATCTTAGTGAGGGTGAAATTCGACAAAACTGGTTCACACAAATTTCCAATCAACTAGCCAATTGCAGAAGGAAAAGGATGTTGTTGGCGAGTCTGGCTATGGTCTACATGGGAAGCCTACTATTTAAGCCGACAAAAGCGCTCTAGTTCCCTTAATGAGTTTTGATAGTATGGGTTTGAAGAGGATTGTCAAATATGATAATATGATTGGGAGTACATGGAGGCGACTGGGGGGTCTTGCGCTTGTCTGGAGAAGGCCCATACCCCTCTTGTTTGTTCTTCTTTAAAAACAAAAAGGCCAGTAACTTGTGGTTTGGGACTGTTTGTTGTCGAAATCTCTTGCTCTCCTCAGGAAGCTGATTAAATAGGTGAGGATGTCTAATAGTTTTTAATACTCATAGTAAAGTAGCCCTATTTAGCCTATACAGCAATTATAATTTTAATCTCTAATTGTAAATAGCTCTCTTTGCTTAATTGTCTACATCTGTCATATGTATAATTTAAATCTATTACTAGTGCTATAAGTTATGCTTTTGATTTTATCTTTAGATTATTTTGCTTTTAGTTATAATGCCATGAAATGGAGATTTTGTTGTAATTTCTTAGTACTTAACATATTTCTCTATTCCCATAAAAAAATAATTATAATTATTAACTGTTTTTGAAAAGTCTAAAAATATTTTAAGTGATTTTAACAAAAGATGGTGCTGATAAGTCATAACCATTCCCATGATACATGCTTTAAAAAAGATGGACTTAGAAATTTTATTGAGTGGATATATTTTGAGTGCATGAGAAGTAAAGAAAAGTTTTCTTCATTGGACTATACTTCTACCGTTAGGGGGGATCGAGTATTTATATCACAGCCACATACACTTTTGGTAGACCCAAGTTATAGTCTGTAATTTGATTATTTACTAGTGTAAGAACAAAGTACTAATTACACAAGTATTTTAACACATTTTGTATTGTTTTTATTTTATTTTATATATCATGAAATAGGTTATAAAATAATAGATAGTTCTCCATTCTTCTTCTTCATCTATTTTAAAATTTAAATTTGATACATTTAACTTAAAACTCAAATTCTTACTAATTGGATGCTCCATTATGCTCGTGTGCAAAGGAGGATAGGTGAAGAACTTACCGGCTAACCTCATTTTTGTAACCCACGCAAAATAAAGATGGATGCGCCAGGACTCAAGTTCATAAATTTTTACCCAAAATTTCGCTTTCCTCACCATTAATAACCAAGGGAATGAGAACAAATTGAATAATAGTGGGGCAAACAGAAAATTAATTATGCAGGCTTAGAATATTGAAAAAGGAAAAGAAAAGGACTTTGAAGGCCAAAAAACGAAAAAAAACAACAAACAAAAAAGGAAAAAGCTCAGTTTTTATAGTGTGAAAGACAAGAAGCATCGCTAAACCAACGATGAGAGGAGGAAAAAATAGTTAGAGTATAGAAATTTCCTGCCAATTTTTTTTCCGATAAAAAAAAGGGAATTGCTTCCAGTTTTAGGGTATGAATGGTTGCAGCCTTCGAAGGAAGTTGCAACCCTCAAAAAGTGTCGCACAACCGTCCCAACAATTCACTGCAGGGTATTTAAACAACTAAATTTCTATTTTTATAAGGAGTTTGTCTTAGTATGTTTACTTAAAGAAGAAAGTTTCCACTCCAATTTTATTTTTTTAACATAATTTTTAATAAATAAATTTTTTTTCCATAATTAAAAAAAAAAAAAATTTTCCCCAATTTTCTTTACATAAAACCCACTTAACAAAATTTCTTACCTACTTTTCCGTCAATTTTTATAAAACTTAAAAAAATTAACAACTCAATAAAAATTCTAACAAAACTTATTAACTTTCTTAACTATTTTTCCAGTAAAAATAACCTTGGGGAATGGCAAATTTCAAGAACAGCAAAATTCTCCCAAAAGTTCTCAACCAAACACGGCCCTGTTAATTCCCCCGAAGGACAAGGCGGGTGAGAAGTACAAAGAAAGACTTCTGTTTGCGGTAACGTGAACCTAGGCTTAACACATGGCTTAATAATATTACCTGTCTGCTATTTGGCCAGCTAGAAACAAAAACTGTCTTTCGAACATCGGTTTAATCAAAGTTTATTAGCACAGCAGATAATTAATTACATAGCAACAGAGTTAAAAAGCAAATATTTTTTTCTTCAAACTCTTTCCAATTTAACTACAAAGGATAACGAGGGGGGAAAGAAAGATATGGAGAAAAGATTTCCATGAAAATGCTGTGTAACATTCAGTATCGGCCCAGCTGAAACCATATTTTTCTGATATTCAAGCTTTCAAAAGGGAAGGGTGAAAAAGAAGGATGAGAGGGAAGGAAGTTTTTCTTCTATCAACTTGTGCTTGTCAAAAAAACAGAAACAGGTCTAACCTCAAAGGCTGAGCAAACACAGGCCAGATCTACCAGAAACACCAGTAACTGTCATCTGGCTATCTGGAAGCAAGCGATATAATATCACCTATTCCATCAACATCTTAGATACGAATAATTACTACTGCTCATCACCAGGCAGCCCTTCATCAGGAGCTCGCTGTGCAATTTTGTAATACAGAATACCCATGGTTGCCATGCATGCCCTGCACAAGAAGACACATTAATTCAGTTCCTTCCTCAATTTCAAATATAATCACCAGAGGAAACTGGGCAAATAAATCAATCCATCCATGGCTCCAGCAAATGGTGAAGCTCTCACCCTCGCAAAGTTGCAATAACTTTTTGTTTACTCATAAGATATGGGCGGTTGTGAGGATAAAGCAACCACGTATTTCTAAGACTTTAAACCTAAATTATGCACACGATACAAGTCAGTTGGAAGAAAAGATATTTGAAAATTCCGCACCAAACCATTAAAAAAATACACAAAACGAATAACTCTTTCTTTTTTCTTTTTTTGGTATTCAGGAAAGTAAGGGATGGCCAAAAAAGGGAAGGGTTCCTAGATGTTGCAGAGATTTGAATCTGTGACCTTGAACCTATTATGAAAGATCTAAAGTTAGTGTGTAGCAACTCATCTAAGCTCTTGTTGGGTAATGCTAGCAGCTTAATCAATTTGCAGAAACCAATTTTCCTGATAGTCCTCTTTCTCCTTTTCAATTGTTAGTACCATCCCAGGATCAGCAGAATTTTATGCAAGCAAGTAATGTAGACACAGGCACAAAGATACAGGTGCATCCAGAAAGAAGAGGGAAGTCAGACATTACATGAGTGCTATGATGAGAAGGATTTTTCTTGGATCCATCCGTGTTGATCTTTGATGCCGTGATCGAGCCTCTGGGACATCATCTACATTAGATGCATCCTTACGTGGAGGTGCAGTCACTGGTAAAGTTGGCAATGCATTGGACCAGAATGGGAGCAATGCTCTCATAAACTTATGACGGAGTGGACCTACAACAACAACCATATAAATCTCTTTGGTATTTGAATATAATAAACTAGTCCTGAAATAACATCAGAAAATGAAATAAATTATTGAAAGGGATATTAAATACCACATCCCATTTTGTAGTGCATTGTTAAATGCAGAGAGTTCTGGGAGAAGAAATTAAGCCAAAGAGGATCCCTTTTTACATTGAAATTCAGAAAATTTTCTCTACTATCAAAACTTAATAGATTTTAATGTTAAAAGAATATGGAATTAAAAATGTTACATATCAATGAGGATGTACTTCATTTCAAGACATCCAAAAGTGCAGTCTGTCACTAAAAGGGTCATAGATTACATTTATCTTTCTTGTGATCTTATATAAAATAAGACACTTATTCCAGTACTTGTTCCACATTATTCAAGAAGTAGGTCACATCACAAACAGAGAAAAATTCTAAATTCTGATAAGCTACAGTGCAAAACAGATTAATTCATCACCATATGCTCTTTTCTTACTAACCTCTTCGGTTATACTTCTTAAGATTCCCATCTTCATCATCTGCATAATATGACATTTCAGAGTTTTGCTTCTCAAAAAGGGCTGTACTCTTTCGTGTTGTGGCAACAGGCTGGGTTTATTGAAAAACAATTAATTAGGATAGGGATACAGAAACAAAATTAAAAGAATATAAAAAGATAGTCACAAGCCTAAATTAAAGCATGCATTCAGCATTGCTTAAGATGACTCCAGAAATTCAGTTTACATGCAACAGTAAATAAGAAATGACTTACACCAGGGCTTGAGTTCTTCATGTAATTCCCTGCTGAACTAGGACTGTCTATTTCCATTATCTCTGACACCGTAGGTTTAGAGGGCACTCCTACTGAAGCTGAGTATAAGTCAGTAGCACTCATGCCATCTTTTGCAAGAGAGGGCAATGAGCTTGTGCTGTATTCTATTCCTCCATTAGAGGATACATTTATTAGTGGATCTGAGGAAAAAGCAGGTGGAGGACTGTGGGACTCTGTTGAGGGCAAAGAAACAGGATGATTTCCAAACAAATTCTTTTCCATTCCAGTCTGCAGAAAAGAAAATTGATGTTCTTCAATACATAATCTAATCAAATATCAAGATATGCAAGCTTAATTGAGTTAAGAGTGCAATGCAAGTTTTCCATAGAAATACCAATACAATGCATACCAATACAATGCCAATTTACCTGATGGTGTTACTCAGATCCATTTATTAAAAATATACTTCAAAAATAATTATCAGACCCAGATTTAATGTAAACCATTCAAGGAAAAAATATTATCAGTTCAAGGCAGAAAGGACAACAAACAGAGATCAGAAAAAGTAGGATTTTCAAAGCAATTATGAATACCAGGATCAAACATGATTAAGCTTGCCAAGAACAAGAACATTCATCCACTTTACAGAGGAACATTTAAATAAGCAAGCTCTTCCAAATGAAAAAGAACTTCCAAGCTCTCATCGATGACAGCACTTCTTTAAAACACATTCAGGCCTGAAACTAACCTGCAAAATAGTTTCCTTCAGTAGTGAATGAAGACGAGAACCTGAATCTTTGACAACCTTAGGAGGCCATATCTGCAGAACATACACCATCCAGAAATGAGGAATAAGTAAGAATATATTGACAACATGATGTCGAAGTGAAACAGCAAGTCTATCATCTGAATAAATAATGGGATGTCAGGAAATTTATTAGAGCTTGAGAGCAATAGATCTCAGAAAGATCCTTGATCCTTCCTAACAAGATCAATTGATCCGATAGCACTTCAACAATAATGATTTGTTATGAGAGGAATCTTCTGATGCATGGTGCAATATCAATAGCTTTAGGCTCTTTTGTGACTTTATATTCTATGGTGCAATCTATTTGTTAATATTTTAACAAGCAGGTGTAAGTACATATAACATGAAACAAACTGAGTTTATTGTGATCATATATAAGAATGAAATAAATTGATCAGAATACAACCATTAATATCCCACTTTTCTCTCTATCTCCCTTTCTCTCCCTCTCTTTTCCCTTCCTGCCTTCCACTATTCATCCTGAAAAACAATTCTCTCTCCTACTTTCCTAATAAATTTCCCCAATCCTAAAAACCACAGGAGTTACAAAAGATAAGTTAAGAGTTCAGAAAGTTGAAGCTCTAATTCTACTAAGATTCAAAACGTGGTTACATGAAGTTTAAAATGGAATTTGCCTCCTACCTAGATAATATAAGAAATGGTGAACAATGTCCTACAGCTTTGGACTCTTTTCTGGTTAACTTTTGAATTTCAAAGCAGAATGGCTTCTTACATGCAAAAACCATTCCTCATCCTCATCATTGATGTATTCAAAGAGAAGGATTATTGCACATCCTCAACAACATTCTTTTGAAGTTTCACCTAAGTGTGTGTATAAAACTATAAATTTTCAATTTCATCTGCATGAGGACTCTATTCAGATTAATGAGTTTTATTTTTTGGACACAGGATCATGTCAGATGATTCACTTTACCAATCAGTTAAAATTAATTTCATTTAGCTTGAAAGAACATTTTGAAGAACATGATTTTTCAAATTACCATTTTTATCCTTGAACTGAAACTATGATCATTGGAAATATTGGTCATCTTATAGCTCATTAGTAAGATGTAAAAATGAACAAATGCAATAAATAGGTCATACCGGAATAGAACATGAAGGACAGACATATCCAGCTGGTGCAGTGTGAGGAGGATAGCTTTTGATATGTGAAACCAAACAATTTGAATGCATAACATCTACAGGTCCAAACAAAGAATAAAATTTTAGTTTGATTATGCAACATGAATTCAACTCACTTTCTTTGCAAGAAATATAAGAGGCAGCAACTGTGTCAAATATATTAACATACGTAAGCAACCCAATCGGGTGGTTTCAGGGACAGATCCATCCCCAAGTACCACTTGGCACTCGCAACACTTGGTAGGCCACTCAAACTCTGCATCTATTACCCATTCTGAGTACGTACGTATCTGCAAAAAAAGTGACAAGAAAAATAGCGCACAGCATAAGCCCCGCTGTCTGCATTATGTCTCGAACTGAAAAACATTTAATAGAAATGTCATATTGAATCACCTCACATACATATCCAAACAATACGAAAATGTTTCATTACCCTATATAGAGTAGAGATCCATTTACACACAAGTCTTACCCACCACACTTACATAAATTCTCAACCATTCATCTCTCCACTTTTAATGGCTGAGATTTATTCACATTTATTAAAGATAATTGTTGTTTTCATCTAAAAAGAAGAAAGAAGAAGTGCTTTTTCCTTTGTTCATTTGTTTAAATTAGTTAATGTCACTCATTGTAGACTATTTTCCAGCTTCCAGTAGTCTAACTAATGCATATATTTCAGGTATTAATATCTTTGCCAAAGTTTGGTTTATAGAGAATTGAAGCTTTAAGCTTACCACACATATCTGGTGCTCCTGAGAGCAGATGCATTCTCCACAAACAGGAACCTTATGCACGAAACAGTATAACTTTGTCGCCTGAAACAAGGAGCACGGAGAACACAGAACAGAGACATTTATTAATCAAAACACAGATCGCCAAGTTGTTGAATCACAAACAGAAACAGATCTGAAACCTCTGGTAACGAATTACAGATTTTCCAGAGAGTTCTAAGAAAACTTCGAAATGGCCCAGCACAGAGATTCTAAATCTGGAATGCAGAAAATCATGAAGCGGATCACTTTCATGAAGATGGAAAAGGAGATTACCTTTCGGCATTTGCAGACCACCATTGCATAAGCACAGACCAATGATTCGGAGGTATACGATCACGCTGGGATTCAGCAATGAAAAATGGATGAAATTGACTGGAAATTATCTAGGGTTTAAAAGAGTGAGCAGAAGATCGGGAACAAGATCTATATTAGGGTCGGAGGAAAAGGAAGGTCTGGCTTCTGTCAAGTGATCGGTTTTTGTTTTTGTTTTGGTAAAATAAAACTTCCCATGGATTTGCGATTATCGCCTTTTTCCTTTTTGTCATTTTTATTTGCCTTAGGTAACGGGAATTCATCAATCGGCCTCATGAAAAACAGACAAGTGAATAAATTTTGGGTTTTTTCTTTTTTTCTTTTTTTTTTTTTTTGCATTACATAATACCCGAACTCAAGTAAAAATTATGATTGAATTACTTAATTTGTTTTTATAAAATAAGTGCAAGATTTAGGGTCACACTCCAAAAAATATTAATACGTTTAATTTGATAGGAATGGAGGAAAGGTTACTCCATTTTCTTTTTTTCATTTTCTCTTTCTTTTTTTCATTTGAATAAAATTTTTTCAAACTTTTTATTAATTAAACAAAAAAATTTTTACTCTTCCGTACTTTTTATTTGGATAAATTCCTTCCATTGTAAATATTTTATTAATTAAATATAAAAACTTTGGCCCCTTGCATTGTTTTTTTTTCTTTTAAACTAAATATTATAAATGTACATAATAATGAATTTGTTGCAATTATTTGGAAGAAATTGATGAGAGATATCTAAAAAGTTGGTTTAAAGACACTATTATCATAAATAAAAATAATAATATTATAATTATAATATTAAGTAAAATTTTATATATTTTTAAAAAATAATATAATAAATATATATAATATCATAAATAAATTTTTAAATAAAAAATTTAATTATATAATAATACAATATTACTTGATATAATAATTATAATATTTTTAAATAATATAATATAATTAATTAAGAAATTTATATCTTTTATTTTTTTTATTATCTTTAAACTAAATATACTATTAAAA